GGATGGTTCACGCTTCCCTCCTACGCCGCTGGGCCGCAGCCCCATGCGACAAGCCCCCACCCCCCCACGGGAGCCCACCCAAATCTGACACGCAGGGTCCAGTCACCGTATCTTGAACCCGTGCGTGGAACGGCGCCCTAGAATGCGGGTGGAGTTCCAAAAACAAGACGGAAGGAGCCGGAAGGAGTGAATCACTCCTTCTGATGTGGACTCAAAGGCCGCATCACTAGAGATTTATGAAAGAGAGGGGGCTAAGGCTTTCCTGGGGGGGGGGGGTCTGATTTTAATGAAAATGAAGAGGAACACTAATACATCTATTAGCATATTTATTTTGGGAGGGAAGGGGCTAAAGAACATTTTGCAGGACGCCAAGTCCCTCAGAATCACCCCTAACAGCACTTCATCTTACTACAAAATTGAAAGCAGTAAAACATCTGAAACCCGTAGGACGTGGATCTCTCAAAGCACGGCCTAATTTAAAAATGACACATCATCCGTGATTAAAAACGCAGACGGACACCTGGGGCCAGCGGGGGGGGGGGGCTGGTCACATGACGTGATCACTAGCGCCGCAGGAAGTCGCACCTGTGCGTGTCAGACATCCCTGACTGAGTTTCCTCTGGCTTTAGGTTCTCTGTAACAGAACATTGGACCCAGGGGGGAAAAAAAATGGATTTAACTGGCACAATAATCAGAAGTTAAACATTTTAATTTATTAAAAAGTCATTAAAAGGTAGCTCTGTAACGTCTATCAGCATGTACATGCGCCACTCAACAACGTTCATGCCTCAGAAGCACTTTAAGTAATAATTAGCACAATATTGAAGAGCTGAGTACTTAAGTGCTTAATATTAAAATATGCATGACCAGGCAGACCCTCGTAAGCGAGAGATTTCTGCATGATGTAAATGATTTAATGCCTCGATCACAGACATGCTGGACCCATCTGTACTTAAACCTGACAAGTCGTTTTTAAAGTCTTCACCTGATCACACCTTTTTAGACTTAATCCCCACGGTTGCTACACGATTACCGCGATTCTATAATCGTGATACCTGCGCTGTAATGCAGAACCAAAAGGGGATCAGACCATGTGACCACAAGTAAACAACATTCACAACAACATACAGAATATGCAAAGGATGGCGTGAAATACGGAGGGACAGATTACGACATTCAGATTTGCGGTGATGAAACACCTTTCTGCCTGACCTCTTCTGCTGCTGGGCTAAAATACCCGAAGGTACAGCTGTTACCCAGCAACGCTGTGGGCTATCCTGGGGGCAGAAGCAGACTTCACACCAAGAGATGGTCCCCTCAAATCCCAAAGGAGAAAAATCACTGCTGTACCGCTGAGAAGGACGTTCGGGTTGCTATGGTAAAGAAGATGATGAAGTGTATGGAAGTTCAGCTGTGAACTCGGGAAGATTCTGTGCAGGGCTGCTTTTGCCTTTTACTTTTGCCCCAAAGCTTACAGAATCCTGTTCCTTTCTTCTACATGGTACACCAACTCCCAGAGTTCTGTTCCTTTCTGCTCTGTGGAGCGACTCTACTCCCGAGAATTCTGTTCCTTTCTGCTCTGTGGAGCGACTCTACTCCCAAGAATTCTGTTCCATTCTGCCCTGTGGAGCGACTCCACTCCCGAGAATTCTGTTCCTTTCTGCTCCGTGGAGCGACTCCGCTCCCCAAAATTCTGTTCCTTTCTGCTCCGTGGAGCGACTCCGCTCCCCAAAATTCTGTTCCTTTCTTCCCCGTAGAGTACTTTGCCCCTAAAATTCCATCCACTTCTTTCCTGCGGAATGCGAAACTTCCAGAATTCCATTTCTTAATTCTCTGCGGAGCACCCCTACAGCGAATGGGCTTCTACTGTGGGCAGCTAGAAAGTAAAACCCATTAAAAACAGGAGGGAAGACTGTGCCTCCCTGCTGATTATAATGGGTAGGGGAGTAAATGAGAGGCAGTTTAAACCCTTCCTCCATCATATTCCCCGGGTTTATGTGATAATCCAAGGTTTTAACTGTGCTTGCGTTGATTAGCACGCATATGCTTTTAAAACCTGCCTAAGGGATTCTATTCTTTATTTTTTTATTATAAGATGAATAATTCACACACCTGTAATTATGACAATGGTAACAATGCATTAATAAACTAATTTAAGCTTGCAAATTACAGGTATTGTGAGTTTCTGTGATCTTGTGCCTTTTGCAAGCTTATCTGGATTTGCACAAACTACATCGTGTTGTGAATCCTTTAGGTTTTTGTCATTCAATTCAATTTTGTCACCAACAGGCTAATTTGTAATTAAACGGGGTGGGGGAAAGGACGAAAAAAAAGAAAAATTACATTAGGGTGGAGCTCCAAATAAAGACTGACGGTTGACAGCTGACACCAAAATAGATAAATAGTCTATTTAAAATCAATCCACAGCGATTTCAATCAAATCTGAAAAGAGGATGTGAAGAAAATGGCACCGAAGACTGACAGATGTGTGAGATTTCAGCGTCGCCTTTGTGCAGCCGACGGCGAGCAATGCGGCTGTTTTCTTAGGCGCGACAGCCGCAGTCCATCATAATATACCCCGGATCTAAACAATGTTCTCTTTGCATATTACAAAATGCAAATT